GCCAGCTAAGGAAGGCAGGCTCCAGCCACAAACGATACGTACCTTGGTGTAACCCGTCTGCCCCTCCTCCTCCCCCTCCTCGTTCTTGTTCCATCTGCGGTGCCCGTCCCTAGGTACCTTACCGCTGGGCAATTGCTCCAAGAGGTACGGAGTACTGCGAGAGGTACTGTACGAAGTACTTCCAGTCGTACTCAAGCAGTCAAGCTCCCGCCCCCAATCCCTCCCAATCGAACGAACCAAGGGAAAGGGAAGCATCAACTGTAGGTACATACCTTACGAATGGGCTTCTCTCCTTCTTCTTCAACTGAGTTGATGACTTGTCAACCCATCCGCCACATCCTTTCTTGTCGGTGTTTCCCCCTCATTCGACCACCGCCTCGTCCTCATCCTCGCCCAACCTCTGTTCGCTCACCGCCACATGAGAACAGCAAGGCCAGAACCAGAAACAGGATTCCCAGTCTTTCAATGTACATCACCAGCCGTCGTTAGGCATCCCTGGGCAAGCCTGACTGGCGGCTTCGTACCAAACATGGCAGCAGTTCCAACCCGGACACCAGGTCGGGGACATCCACGATACGACATATCCAAGAGACATGCCAACCCGGGTCTTCAGTCAAAGCTGAACCTTGACGCAGAAATAAGAATCTTGCTTCGTGACATTGTCACACAAAATCAGGTGCAGCCGTCCGAGACCGCTTCAGACAAGTTTAACCTTCGGCCGGTGGGAACAATGCCATTGATCATGATTGGCGAGTCGCCGTTTGCACTCCTCAATTACGGGAACCGTTTGGTCGGGAAGCACAGCATGGCAACAGCGGCATCGATGCAGTCAAACGCCAGATTTCGCGCATGCAAAGCTCCGTCTCGTCTGGTCCGCTCCGGTCTAGCCCGCGACCCAATTCTACCCAGGGTTACTTATCAGCACTTGCTTCACAGTAGTCATTGTGGCCTGACAAACGGATCTGGTGTACCTACGACTGCTCAGAAGATGCCAAGTCATGGTGTGTAGGACCGGGAAGAGGCATCACCTCCATCAACCCTTCGAAGACAATGCAGAAGAAGCCTCTCGCCATCTCTCTTGCGTACGCAGACACAACAGCGAGCTCCAGGGTGCGTGCAGGGCCACCAGCACCGTGAGGATCTGACCACTGGTGAGGGACAACGCAAACGGATAAGATGAAACATCCATAATCATGTTCGTTGCAGAATCATGATAACCCACACACACCTGCCCGCGCACATACACACAACCATCTCAGGTTCAATCTGGTTAGTCGGAGCGGGCATGGGACACTTGCTCGCACACAGCCGATGACAAGCTGCGGCAGAGAGCCTTCGACTCGGGATGGACAACCCCATTGACACACACACACAAAGCGCTTTCTTTTCGAGAACAATCCTTGACCTCCCTGGCGAAGGCAAGATTCGTTTTTCATGTCTATGCGCCCTGGTCGCAAATCAATTTTCCGCGTCCGAACTCGACAAGACTGCATTGCAATCATCATTATCATCACGTTTTATTACTCTCAATGAGACTATTGATAACCATTGCCAGGAAGAAGGAACGACGGATTAAAAGCACGCCAAGTCGATTTTTTCGTCCCGCTTGTCATCGCCATCATTTTCTAGGAGCTGGACAGCCGAAGTCTGACGGCATTAACAGCCGCTGGCCAAGGACGATGTTGAGCGTTTGACGGACAAACCACCTCCACTACGCGCTAGATCTATCCTTGCTACCCGATCCGCCAGTGGGCTGCCGCTATGCCTAAGAAAGATCCGGTTCTGCAATGCTGGTTGCCGTTCACCGCCACGTTGGGTTTTGTTTGTGTCACCGACAATTTGGTGCTCAGGTCGAATCCTTTTCGAGGCGGTAGGAATCATCTACTGCAAGAAGACAAGGAAACATTGAGTAACTTCGTTCTGACCGCAAGCCCAACGACAACATCTAGGCGAAGGATGGTAGGGACGAAGGAGTGCACATATCACGAGAGCAGCTTTTCTGCCCCAGGATAGCCTGAGCTTCACCAAACATTCACAACCCAACGCTGGACAATGGGCTACCCGTCCACCTGTTGTGAGGAATATGCTCATCCATCTGTTCCTCTTCGCAGATCGCTTCATGACGTCGGTATCAGTCATGGTGCGGGAGCAACCAGAAAGGCAGCTCCGGGACAGGGATCTCCACAGGCGCATAGCCAGCGCAACACCTCTGGCTATATCACGCTCTGCTAAGGAGTCCGGAAGACGTACCGACTACGAAGATGGAAGTCCCCTCGCCCGTTACTACCCTTGCCCTTGTTTCCAATCTATTGCCGGGCCACCATGGGGGCTAGGGAGTACGATGTGCCTGCCGTGCCAGGTATCTGTAGCATGTCTCGCCTTTTGTGATGGGATGAGAACCCGCAAGGCTGGGTTCCCCCTCGAGACGACCTCCTGCTAAGCAAAGCCACGATGCAAGGCCAGCAAACGAATGAGAATTTTTTGAAAGGGGGGCAGCAAGAGTGTTTCCCAATTAAAGTCCAATGATAGTATCCCTTTTGGACGTCAGCCCCGGGATGGAATGCAACCCCAGCCAAAAGGTGCCTGGTAGGCTGGTGGGCGGCTACTAATTACGTCGAGGGCCATTTAATAGGCTCTCGAGTCTCAGTGCCACCAGGGCGGGAATCGACGTACATGAGCTTCAGCTCACTTGACTTGCTTAGTCGTGAAAGGACGACGACGGCGACGACGGCTGTGCAACATTCACGCAGCACGCGCGTACGGCCGACAGAGCAGCCATCATAATTCAATTAATAAGCGCCGCAAGCCATCGTTGATCAGACAGATATACAATAGCGTTGTGGCGCGCGAGTTGTTGACCTCTGCTGCCCTTCTCTACGATGTCGGGTTCGGTTACATTGTTTAGTGAGCAAACGCAGCAACAGACGATGACACGTGCGTAAAACAGTACCGTTTTCTTCCCCTGTTGCTGTTGGCGTTCGGACAACGACATGACAAACATGCCGAGCGGGTGTCGGGCCATTCTCACCACTTATCCTTTTCCCTATGCGGAAGGGTTTGGTTATCATCAATTTCCATGGTTCCCTTGTTTCGCTTGCCATGTAGAGCCCTGGTCCTTGATGGAGGAATCTGGGCGCGGAACTATCTAGCTGGCCGAGGCCCCCGGTCTGCACACTAAGTCACCAGCCGCATGTATGTCATCTACCGAACGATACCTAAGGACCACAGCGGAGGGTAAGGGCAATCCAACGTCAGTGATATCGATCGGTCTCCTTGGACTTGCTCACCGCAAGCTGCGAAGACCGCAATGTTGCTGCTGAGAAAGGGCAAGGTGCGCTATCGCACCCGAGTCAAGAACATACAAACTACAATGCCAGATGTTGGCGGCGGTGAGCAGTTCTGTTGGTTCGTTGTGCTACGTAAAGAATGGCTTCTAGACGGTGTGCCCTGGTACATTGATAGTTGGCGACGGTGCTGGTGTCTGCTATGTTAGACTACCTTAGGATGAAAGGGCAGCCCGAATCATCCTCAGGGCAGCCCTCCACACCCAATTGCCAGCTGACCGACACGTATTCAAGCACTTTTTTGACTATTTTTCGGGCATATTGGGTGCCAGCAATCTACTTTGGGCACGAGACTAAGTCCTAACCTGGGTAGCCAAGGTTAGCGTGTAAGTTTTGGACTGTGACCTCCCGAATCTAAGGTTAGTTGGCCAGATTGCGTGAAGCATAGACGGGGACGGATATACAGCGCTGAAAAGCCCCAAGTTAGTCAAACTTTGTACCTGACCTGGGCAGGTGGTATCGGCAGACCGCACTTGGAAGAAAAAAGACATTAGGGCGCTGACGGGAGTTGCTCGTTGCGCGTCGGGGACTAAGGTGAGGTAGTGTAAATGCCTCCCCACGTTGGAACTTGGGGTGTCCATTGCACGGACGGCCCTTTGCCAGTCTCGTACCGAACCTCGTCCCAAGGCTAGACTAAGGTTGCAAAGAAATTCCCCTAGCGCAATTGCCTTGCCAGGCCGTCGTCAGCAATGGAACGCCCGGAAGAAGCAAAGAACTGCGGCCCAAGGGTTGCGAAATGCGAAATGAGAAAAGGAGCATCCAGAGCTCTATGCGTACGGAGTATTGTCTAGCACAGTGGCTACCTCGGTGCCCTGCATAGAAGCAAGAAACATATCATATCCCAGGTACGTACCGATGATGTATATGGGTACCTCGGAGACTAGAGAAAACAGTAAGGGCGAGTAAGTTAAGGTTACAAGCCGGCCAACTCTCCCAGGTACCCTAAGCAGGTTTGGCCGTACGGCAGGCAGCGAATCGAGAGTAGCTACCTTGCCTTGCCTTATCCCGTCGTGTTAGTTCGAATAGGGAAAGAAGGACGAATGAGAAAAGGAACAACTCGATAGAAGATCGGAAAGAGGGAAGGAGAGCGAGAAATTCGCACCTCAGGCCTAAGGTAGATTGCCTTGTGTACTTTGTCCCGACGTCAGCAACTTACTTTTGGTACGGTACCTCAATCTCAGTCTCAATGCTTTCCGTCATCCAAGGGCTACTAACCTTGCGTCTCCCCATTGTGAACGCACGCACAGCAGTCTACATGTTGGACGCCGTTCCGATTTGCTCCACGTTTCTTCCCAAGAATACACAATCAATCTCTGTACAACAGCGCCATCTCTTCTCGTACGCAACCTAATGTCCCCGAACGGAGTCAATGTTTACTTCTTTGCCTTCTCTGCTGGCCATTAGTTGCTCCTTTATGCACCGCCCCGTCGTCATGTCAGGCACCGATGCCGTGGACACTGGTCCAGCTACAACACCGGACTCCCGAGACCCCTGGAAGGCAGCAGACAAGCTATGAACAGCCCAACCAAGCCATGTGTGGCTTGACTTGACGCTAACGACGACGTCGTGGTCGCCTCATTGCCGTGGAGGGTGGACAACACCGATGGCGCTGGAGCGGCAAGACAAAAAAAAAACAAGAGAACTACCACCACTACTATGACTATTACTACAACCACCACGGCACACAATGATGGTCAAGGATACGACTGCGACGACCAAAAGAGGGCTGCTCGAAAGCCGCTAGCCAGCAAAGCAGCGAGCAAGCATGCCCCAAGTTGCATGGCGATCATGGTTCATGGCAACTGATGCAGCCAGGCCACAAGCTCATACTTGGCCTGTCCGCCTGCAGTGAAAACATTACCGCCCTGGTCCTGGAAGGCTTTGCTGGACGGACACTGCACGCTGGGCTGCGCTGCATATCTGACCGCCAGTTCATCATCAGACCAAGGCAAGGGCCAAGCCGAGCACCACCAGCATCAGCACCAGCAACAGAACCAGCGAGGCAAGGCAAGGCAAGGCAAAGCACCACTTGACCAGACGGAAAGGGAGGCATTCCCAACACTAGACAAGACAGACTTTGTAAAGGCTGTTCCTGGCTCGCCCTCATGGATATGGCCATGGGACATTGGTAGCCGGGCATGAAGGGCATTGATCAAATGTTTCTCAGCACAACCCAGCCCCAGCCCATCTGCGGATAGTCAACCGCCCTCGACGACTCGTTCGGCAGTGGCGCATTGTCACGGCCGCCGTTGGCTGTCCGGCCTCGTCGAGACAAGCCTCATCTTACATCCATTGTGTCGACCGCACAGACATCAGGCTTACTGCACCTCTTCTTCGCTCTTGTTCTCCCGCTGCCGTTGCCGTTGCCGCTGCCAGATGCAGAGCACAGTACTGCGCTATACTGCCGGCTCTTTATTTTCAGATTGCTCAGCTCGTCAAACCGATCCGCGCCATCGACTTGTCAATTGCACTAGCACTAGCCGCGGAAGGGAGCCGCCCAAGACAGTACAAGACACGCATGCAGCCTGCGTTTGCTTGCTCTCACAGACCCCCGTTGAACCCGTTAGGATCGGCGAACAGCATAAGCACAAGTTCAGCAACTCGGAGATGCGCACAGGCAAAGGTGGAGGCTGTCCCCCCTCCCCAAATCAGAGGAGACGGGACCAGGGTAAGCCACAGTTGAGAGCAGTTCCTTCAAGTGTGCCCGGCCAAGCATCGGAACCCTCGTTGTCCCTCTTCGGCCGACCCATCCCTCCCATCAGATAGATGGGTTCCTCCGCCGGTTTTCCAGTCTCCGATCCTCCAGACGCCTCTTAGTTTCTCGCCTGCTCGTTGCTCAACTATGCGCGCCGTCATAGTTTCGCGTTTGACTTCTACGCGTGCCGGAGTCGGGGGCCTAACCAACCATGGGGTCAACTCTACGAGGCTAACCGCTGCCTCCGAAATGTCTGTCATAAGTAGCGGTTTGCGAGGCCTTCCCCCATTAACAACATCTCTCTTCGCCAGCTGTCTGCCTAGGAGCGTCAGCCGGCACGAAGAGGATCCCATGAAGCGGGAGCCCATCTATTACAACCCACCAGCATGCGCATGTGCGAAGTCCCCTCGACTCTTCATTGCATCAGCAACCGCAGGTTTCAAACATGGGGTCCACAGCACCCGTATGCGGTTTCGTGACAAACTGCTGCCCACCACATTCCGCCCTCTCCACGCTTGTCTTGCCCTAAACACACGCTCACTCTGTCGGGGACCCTAGGATTATGGGCCATGCACACTTGACGCCCTCTCGAATTTCCCGCCCTCTTCAACCAGATTCCCACCAGCCTCCAAGTCGAACCGATGCTCTACGAGTCTGGGAGGGAGCTGTGACCAGGTGTGGTCATCATACACGGACACGAACCAACCCTTATCCAAGCAATCCTTATGACCAGCGTTTCTTGGATCCCGCTCTTGGGAGAAGCTGTCATCCAGCTTGCTCCATTGACTCTGGCTTTGACACCGCATTAAACGCGCTGATCCAGACGTACCACGGGTTGCCCATGACCTGCTCTACCCAAGTACCAGAGAAGCATCATGCATGAATTCGTGGCCATGCCATTTTAGCACCTAGCTTGGTAGCGGACATTCGACCCAGTACCTGGTATTCCATTGTATTCTTTCTCTCTCTGTGTCTCTTTTTTTTTTTCCCTCCTCCTATCTTTTGCTCTGGTTATTACCACAACGACCCCTCATGACTGGAGCTGCAATCTAGGGTGTCAACATACGGGAGAACACCAGCCCCAGGCCAGACGCTAGACAGGGTATGTTGCAGAGGGGTGTGTCTTGAAAAGAAAGCATGGCAGCCACCTGGTGTCTGTGAGCGCGCTGCGGGAAGGGGGGCGTGTGTCTTTCAAACATGCGCCCACCCATGTCGGTTCCCAAACTATGCCTGGGTGAAAGTAGCCCTTCATGAGCCTTATTCGACAACCTCTACCGCATCGCATTCTTCAATGAGGGCAGGGCAATAGGCGGACTGGCCCAGGCAAGGGACGGACGGCACCAACAAGATCCCATCATCTGCCACTGGTCATTCCCTACCTATATGCGAGCTTGACATATAACTTCTGCCCTATTACTACGTTCACTGCTCGCTGCCGGTCGCTGCTGCTGCTCGCGCTGGTGTTGTTCTGCAAAAGCTAACCAGCCTATGCCCTTGCCAAACACACACATCCTCACACACCCTCCTCACACGCGCACACACACACACACACACACTTCCCATCCGTACCCAAAGCTCGTCTTTCTCGTCGTCTCTTCCTTCTCCACAGCCGCGGTGGCTTTCTCACACACACTCTCTCTCTCTCTGCCTCTCTTTCTCTCCATGTTCGCTGATGCTGCTGCTAGGCTCGTCACTGTCGTCCTGGGTCTCAACTTGTCTCCTCCTACGCCCGTCCTTATACACACCCCTCCCTTGCTCTCACTCACTCTCTTCTCGTTTCTTCTTCGATGACTTTTCTCTCGTCAGTTTAAGAGTCTTTTGAGCCTGTCACTTTGTTAATCAGACCCCGGCTTCCGTCCCCCACTTCGTCCTCCACCTCTTCAACCCATCACCGTCCCTCAAACTACCACTTTCTCGGTCCATTTTAATTCTTTTCTCTTCCATTCACAAACTGCATCACCGCAAGTTCCCGACGTAGACCGGCTTGTACCTTGTTTTCTTGGCCTCTACCGACTTTCCGTAGGAGAACGATGACTCTGGTAAAGCTTCGCTTTCTAATGAAGACTTCTAGCAGCCTAGTTTGACCAACGTATACTTACGCCGCCGCCCTCTTTTTGCTGTCCGCCCGCCCGCCCGCCTGCCTGCGTCGACACCGAGCGAGCTCAATTTCCGATCATTGGTTGCCGGCTTCTCTAACTGGCCCAATCATGTTGATGACTTCCTCAAAACTGCCAGCTACGCCGCCATCTTGATCTAAAACCAGGTCCCTTTTCCCTTTTCAGATCTTTCTCCCCCCCCTTTTGCCTATTCACCAGGATTAAACGGAACGCCTTTTCCTCTTACCAACCTCACGATCGACATCATCCATTGTTAAGCCACGGCAGAATCAGAGAACTTTGTTGCCTTCACCACTTCCAGCAACGGGGCCAGCGTCACCGATCTCCACCGCTCTCAACCCGTGATCCTGCTCTAACCCACCTCTGCCGTAATTCCCAAAGAGTAGACACACTGCCTTGAACTTTACATTACCCTCGAAGCGAAGAGAACCTTGAACGAGCACCGAACAACCGTCCCCATTTCGAATCTGGTCGGGAAATTTCACCGACCTTGAGCTTTCCAAGTGTTCCAGAAACTGCCCTTCTTGGGTGGTGTCGAGCAAACCGAAAAGCTGGCGCGCGTCTATCGCGCCCATGACACAAGACCGTATCCAACCTACTTAGGCGGCCAAACCGTCACCGTGGATATCGCGTCTCTCCTGAAGGCTCCCGACTCAGATGAGTCCTCCACCGCTCCGCCTCAGCATACCCGATCATCGTCAGACCCGTCCGCAACCGCAACCACGGCGGCCACAGCGCCTGTCAGCGGGCTACCTCCGTATGGCCCGCCTCCCGTAGCACCGGGCCTGGCTGTGAGCGGCAAGCGTGCCATGCCACCGCACGTAGCGGAGTCTCCGGCCAAGAAGCAGAGCAAGTGGTCGCCGGAGGAAGATGCTTTGATCATCGAACTTCGGGGGAGCGGAATGAAGTGGGAGGACATCTCGAAACGTCTGCCGGGAAGAAGCGCCATCAGTTGTCGACTTCACTACCAGAACTACCTCGAGAGGCGGAGCGAGTGGGACGAGGAGCGCAAGAACAAGCTTGCACGGTTGTACGAGAGGTATGATTTGATCACAGGAGCATCGAAATCACCCTCGATTCGCTTTGTCCGTCTTGAGGAGAAGAAAACTGACGTGTTAAATTAGGTTCAAGCCGGAGATGTGGGCAAAAGTTGCGGAGGAGATGGCCGTTCCTTGGCGAGCCGCAGAGGCCATGCACTGGCAGCTTGGCGAAGCGGACATGGCTCGACGGGCCGGTGTGGTGCCCTTTTCTTTGACCGCGGTCAACGTCGACCAGCCTGGCGGTGGCCACCGGCACTCTCCTTCTCGGGGGCACATGCACACCCAGTCCCAGCCTAGCCTACCTCGGGACATTGGCGGGCCTTCCCCCCGATACAGCCGACCACCGCCGCCTGGTATATCCCCGATTCCCGGTGGACGAGTCATCGCCGCCCGACGGGAGAGCGTTCCTGGCAGGCCGCTGATGGGGCCGGATCCGAATGAGATGGCGGGTATGGGGCCAGGCGGCCCCGGTTTAGCACCGATTCAGGGACTTCCGCCAGGCCGAGGCGGAGGCATGCTTCCGGGAGTTGCCGAACTGACTACCGGTGTCAGCCCATATAGCACTCCAGCATACGCGATGGGCGGTATACCTACGGCAAGCCCCGTGCCCAGCGCGAGAGCTAGCCCGGGACCGCTGCTTCCAGCCCTCCACTACCCACCGCCTCACGAACAAGCCGGTGCGAAGCGACGAGCCAGCCCGGGCACAGAGATGATGGGATCAAGGGAAACGAGCCGACGACGGCACATGGACCCCCGTCAGGAGGAGATGGATCGGCGACGTGTGGCATGATTGCGAGGGCAGGGTGAAAGCGGTGATGGCGCGGCGAACTTTGGAGTTGGGAACAAAATTCTTTCTGAGGGGGAACGACACGAATCGGCTCCCCCCTCTTGATTTTTCATGAGAGCATGGGAAACCTCCGAGGATTGTTTTTTTCGTCCAACGTGTGCGGAGGGCACGACACACGGCACGGGAACAGCATGTTGCATCGGGATTGGAGCAAGATTTTGTCTCATTTTTCTAACTTCTCAGACACATAACATCGTTTATCACTCGAGGTTGACGCTATCTCTTTTGAAAAAGCTTCCCTCGTGTCGGGCAACGGATCCCCTCACGGCCACGTCGTCTTCTTCGTGTCATTTAACTTTTAACTTTTTTTTTCCTTCTTTCTTTTCTCTCCCTCATACTCCTCTCCAGACTTGCCCTTTGGTGGTCATTTTTCAGCCGGCGGTGTTGCGAAGAAAGGGAAAACAAAAACACTATTTTTTTTCCTTTTGCCGTTGGGTTTTTAC